TGCATACGGTTCTTTATTCTTATAAAACAGACAGCTACTCAGAGCTCAAAATTAATACTTTATTCATTTAATTTAGTGTTGCTGCAGACTGACATGTTTAATCTATCAGTTGGTGAGTACAGAATTGATGATAATTGAGTAAATTCTTCCCATTTTCTCATCAGCGAGCCTCTGTTTATGCAAGAGGTTAGTCACCTTTAAAATTCTTTCCTTAATTTTTCAGCATATTTCTAATGGTCACAGTAATGATGGGAAGACAAAGTATTATAACAATACCTATTCAAAGAAATACGGTCTTTGGTGTTTTTTCTCCAGGTTTAGCCTGTCGGGTTTCATAAGGCTTATGTAGCTGTGGAATCACAGATCTCTCTGTAGATTGCGAATGCGTAACACTCATCAACTTCACATCACTTATCAGCATAAGAGGCGGGCAGCTTTCAGACCAAATACTAATAAAGGCAAAAGTGTCAGGGTAGTTGGTGCTAATGAGTTATGTGCATGTCATGTGTTTTTCTTGCAATGTCTTTCTCTAAAATATTGCAAAACATTTCACTTCTGATTGTAGGCTGTGTTAGGAAACACAGCCTACAGTTGGCCTGTAGCTAGTTGACTGTTGCGGAGCTACGATGTGTAATACAGGAAATACTATGAGGATTGACTAAAGCATGGTAAAGCAGCCAGTTGTAATGACTGAGGTATCGATTCCATCAAGTATAGCCAGGCTTAATAACTAACCGGAAGGCATAAAGCTAAGAAACAGGAAAAAATAATGTATTCCAAAGAAGAATTATAGGCAGAAAAAATAGCTTCTGATATGTTCTTCTTTCTTTTTTTTTTTTTTTTGTAATGTACATTTCAAAATGAAACACTCTGGTAAATATAATTTGCCTGGCTTTTTTTTTTAATTTATTTACTCCAAATAATTTAGTAGGACAATTAGACTGTGTAGTGCAATTTAACTAACTTCGGTTTTACCAAGCAGAGCATGTAAGAAACTTAGCGTCCTCCAGTTCATATTTCTTTTCTTGTATTTATGTAAACAAATGACTGAAAGTATCGCAGACCTCTTCATACCTGTAAGCCTTAGTCTTCTGATCTGCGAGATGGATTTAGTATGCCCCTTACAGTGACAATAAGAAGCTTTAAGAAATTACAGCTTCGTACGTGCTCAATGATACTGTTTTTTAAAGGTGCTATGTATTTGCTTGATCTGTCTCCTTCTTCATTTAGCCTGCCTCCTACCCAGCTTTTGGTGTCCTCCCTTTTTGCTATCTCCACCTCCCCACCCAAATTAGTAGCTACTCCTTATGCATTTTGCTCTTACTCATGACTGAAAGCCATCTTCCATTTAGTCTGCCGTAAATCTTTATTTTAACCTTTCCTTTCTTCCACTAAGTTCTTGAAATCTATCCCTTCCAAATGACTCCTAGGTTAAACATCTGCTAACAAATTCTGCAGTAAAAAGCTGTACTGTATCCAAAAAAAAAAAATCAAATAAAAATTATGATAAATATCATGTATGAGCATTCAGTGATGGAAATTCAGATCTTGTGCTGTACAATTCAGAGCAGGTACATTTTTGAAATGGTGACTCGACAGAAGGATTTTGAAATGTGGGCAAGTTCTTGGATATATGTGTCTTGGTAGCTGTGCAGTTCTGTTCCTCAGAATGGATGAACTCTGCTCCACACAAATGGAGTCCAGATAAGCTGCTCTGGAACATCCACCTGGGATTTTGTGACAGGTCACCACACCAAAATGTATTCCTACTAAGTCATAAATAGTTTGAATGTAAATATAAAAACTGCAACTAGCCTTAATTTGTTTTGGCCAGATTTGTCTGAGACTCATTACTCCAAATATTTAGGTTAGCAGTTTCTTCACTATCATGAGAGAGTCAACACACACAATGAATCATTGAGGTAATGACCAATCAGAGAAGGAAGATTGACGGGAATAAAAGCAGCCATAGTTTGCAGGATTATGCCTATTTATTGCAGGAGCAGTACAGAGAATGTGCATCACAGGCAGAGAATAATGTTAAATGCTTTTAAATAAATAATATTTATAAGTAGAGTTAAGAAATTTAGAGTGTTTTCTAATTGCCTGCTTAGTTTTAAAAATACTTGCTGTTGTATACTGACTTTTAACTAGAGTAGTACAAAGAGGTGATGTGAAGATAGCATTTCACTCCTTTTCAGGTCTTGACAGTGTTCTGATCTGTTCCTGAATCCTTTTATTTGTGATATACTGCCTTTGTGGCAAAGTCTAGAGACCAGCTAAAGAAACATGGCTCATGTCCACGTTATTTAGGGCTAATACCTCTGGAGTGGACCAGCCTTGTCTGTATCCTATTACTACCTGGAGAGCGTCATGGCATGGTCAGTCTCTTTACTCAGGATGCAAACTCTAGAGTAAATTGTCACCTCAGGCATACTCACCTTCCCTTTTGGAAGGAACTAGTTGTTTCTGTTGAGATGGGAAGTAACTGCCCCATCTAAGGAAACTTACTTGTCAAGATGATATTTTCCTAAGTTCTTTATAGGCAAAGACTCCTTGATAACCGAGCAGTTATCTGGGTGGGGGGGGGGAAAAAGTCTGTATTATCTTCAGCATTTCTTCTTTGGGTTTTAATACCCATGACAGATTTGACAGTTGTCAGCCTTTGTCTTTGTCTTAGTCTGACTTCTTCTGTATTCCAGTGTTAGGAATGTACTCTTCTATCGCTTTATGGACAAACTGCCCCTGATGTCAATGGAGCAGGTAAACCTCAGCATTAGTGGGATAGGTTGCCCATATGAAAAATAGGCAGCATTCAAAAATCAGTGTTAGCTCATATGTGTGCCTAGAAGTCAGGAAAATATTGTAGAAGATTTTTTGTGCTTTTTGCTTATTCAAATTGTATTCATTCATAAAGGCCATATGGAAGAGCCCTGTAAAATTTCCTCTTTTTCCTGACTATACTATGTGAGTGTAGCTAAATGTCATTCATATTGTTCTGGCAGGCTTTATTTTCTCATACGCTGAATATAAATAACATAGCCATGCAGAGCATTGCAGAATGTCCTTCTGTTGTCTGTAGGGTGTCATCTTCTGTCTGAACACTTACCTTACATAATTGTCTGCAGCATGCTTTGCTTTTGATTATAGTTTAAATAAGCTAGTGGTGGGCAGAAAATATATACAATGATATCAGATAAAGAGATTATTATTTTTAAATGATAGAGCTAGAAATTTCCCTGACAAGAACAAAAGTAACTCGTAGTGTGGGTAGTGTTCCAGGTATTAATTTAAGCAAAGATAGAAGTTTTGACTGTAAGTAAAACTGCATCCTAGCCCTGCTTCCATTTCTTCATGGAAATAGATCATGCCTCCAAGTCTAACTTAGTGAAGAATTTAAGATATTAGATTCTAATGACATGATAAATTATTATACTGCAGGATATAAGATTATAAAAAAACCAGAGAGGAAACAGTTACACTGTGAGACATTCACCTCGGGAGAACAGTGTCATGAAAATGTTTACTGATATTTCTTGGCAATGCTTGCTTACATTTCTAAGAAAATAGCCTTACACATTTATTTTGCCAATTTATTTTGTATCGTTTTACTTGATCATTCATCTCGTGAGACCAACGTGAACTTTGATTCCCCTGCCCCTTTCTTTCTTCGGTCTCCTTTCTCTGCCATGGCACTTGTGGTTTAACCCCAGCTGGCAGCTCAGCCCCACGCAGCCGCTCACTCACTGCCCCCAGTGGGATGCGGGACAGAATCAGAAGAATAAAAATGAGAAAAACTCGTGGGTTGAGATAAAGGCAGTTTAATAGGTAAAGCAAAAGCCACGCACACAAGCAAAGCAAAATAAGGAATATATTTGCTGCCTCCCACGGGCAGGCAGGTGTTCAGCCATCTCCAGGAAAGCCGGGCTCCATCACGCGTAACGGTGACTTGGGAAGACAAACGCCATCACTCTGAACGTCCCCCGCTTCCTCCTTCTTCCCCCAGCTTAATGTGCCGAGCGTGACGTCGTATGGCAGCGATGTCCCTGGGGCCAGCTGTCCCGGCCGCGTCCCCTCCCAGCTCCTTGTGCCCCCCAGCCTGCTCGCTGCTGGGGTGGGGTGAGAGGCAGAAACGGCCTTGGCTCCGTGTCAGCACTGCTCAGCAGGAACAAAAACATCCCTGTGCTATCAGCACAAACCCAAAACACAGCCCAGTGCTGGCTCCTGTGAAGGAAATGAGCTCTGTCCCAGCCCAAACCAGCACACACGTTACATTATCCCTCTAGGAGAAAGTGTTTCCTGCTTCAGACAGTGCAGACCTGTAGTTAATACAAGCTCGTTGTAAAGTAATTGATATTACTGTATATTCCCATATATCTTTATCTATATATAAAAAGTATACGCATGATTTTTTTAATCGGTGTTGTATTCCTTAACCAATACTTTTTATAACACCTGTAGTCCCAGGCCTAACCCTTTTCCTGACCTCCTCTCCTTTCCTTCCACTTCTTTTATGTCTATGCTCAAATCTTTTCTGCTATATTCAATCCTCTTTAAGCTTGCCTAAAAGTCGGCTTTCACCAGATACAGGCTTTGATAAATCATTGACCATGCTCATTATACACTTAACCTGTAGACTCGTGCCTTGTTATGTGCCCCGAGTTGTCCTCAAATAGAGCTTTGTGTTTTAATATTACCAGAACTTTATTGTGCCAGACTGCATTGCAAAACACTTGCCATGGGGACCAGATCTTTTATGGGTACAGGAGAACACTCTGAAGTGGTGGTGGAGGAAAGAAAGGTAAGTTCACCTGATTTTGCCTCTCATAAGAGAAAACAAAGCAAAAGCTGTCACCAGATCAATTTATTGGCTGAAAAGAAGACAGATGCCATGCAGAAATTTAAGACGATTTAAGAAAAGGAAAATTGAGGATGTTTTTTAAAAATCTTTGCAAGCAATAAGGGATAGGAATCAGGAAAGGAAAGCAAGAAATGGAATTCTATGTCAATCTTAGAAAATTTGCTATCATTTCCAGGCCTTTATGTCCAGATAGGAATTCTGTCATCACACTCCAAACAGTTAAGAATATTGTTCCATGGAATCCCTCTTGCAGATGGCACCAGGTCACCTTTATACCATTATCCTCTAATCGTTTCTTGTACAGCAGTCCATCATCTCTAAGAACATCAAATTCACATGTCAAAATGAAAGCCTCAGGAAGCTGAGCAATAACGCTGTCTTCAGCTAGCAGTGGTGAAAAAACAGGGTCCAACACAGGCTTGAACAGTGTATAGAGTTCTTTCGAGAATGTACGTGTTGTACTTGGTTTGTAGCCTCTTGTTTTAAACTCGGGAGGGATGTGGTCAGGACTCACCCATTTCTGATACTTCAGTTGCAAATCTTCTGGAATATGAGAAACTTTATCTACTACTTTGATGACTGACAAGTCTTTATTAAGATACTTCAAACCAAGAGCAAGGGCTCGTTCCTTTGGCAAAAAGAGCATTTGCTCATTCTGCTGATAAGAAGGCAAATTAAAGTCCACAGCCTGGAGAAAAGGATATATTAGGACTTGGGCTCTCAGCTTTGGCAGATCTCTTCTGTTCACCAGTGCTTGGGCAACAGCAGCAGTGAGTGCACCTCCACTACTGTCTCCGCAGACGATAATGCGAGAAGGGTCTACTCCATAATCTTGTGCGGTCCTCATAAAGTGTATGGTGGCTGTAAGACAATCCTCAAACTGGGCTGGATATGGATGCTCAGGAGCTAAGCGATACCTAAACAGGAGTGGAAGTGTTTTGACATAGTCATATCTAACGAATGATCTCGTTGTCATCTTTTCATTCATATATTTCATTCTCAAGATAGGAAAATATTCTGACATTATAATTACAGCAGTAGAATTGATCATCATTATTGCTTTTGATGTATTATTTGCAACTATTGTTAATATTTGGGGGAGTCAGTACACTATCTTTGCAAAATACTTCTTTACGTATCTTTTAGGTGACTGAAGGCACATGCTGAGTTTTTGTAGAATTAGGTGGCAAGACAGGTATGTACGAATCAGTTATCAGCAATTCTAGTTAGAAATTGAAGCGATCATTTCCCAACAAATTGTTAGAGAATATGAGCTTAGAAAATATGAGATAATGAAAATATGAAAGGTTTTCAGTGGTTTCCTATAAGGCGAATTCTTTATAAACAGAATCAATAAGACTTAATGGTTCTTCAAGTAGTTTCGGATGTAAATAGTACTTAGTGCAATTCTAATCAATTTCCAAGACATCAACTCTTTTCCTGAACTTTTAAAAATTGGGTTTTTTTAAAAATGCATTACAGCTTATCAGAAAAATATTTTAAATGTTCATCTCAGGTCGATTGCAAGTTAAATGTGGATAACCCACCCCACCCCCCCAGTTTTTCAGAACTACTACTAAAATAAGTATTTAGTAGCCTGGGCAACTGTGCTTTTAACAGAAAAAATTACACTTGAAACACAGCATTGTCTTTCAACTTAAGGTGGTTTGAATATGGCTTTAGGAAACAAAAACATCCTCACCTCTTAGTGGTGGCTACAAATTATAGAATTATTGTAATGGGTTTTTTTTTTGTAAATAAGCAAATGGGGATTAGTTGACTAATTATTCCTAAGAGTAATTAGTGCTGGTGAAATGCATGCGATCATTAAGTGTAAGTACTGTACGCACTTTACAAGGAACTTGGCTTGCGGTGACTATGCGTTGAAGACTTACAAACCTGGAAGGAGGCACAAAGGGCTGTCATATCGTGTGTCCGGATTGACGCCACTTACCCAACAGACACAACCACTGAATCGCTTTTTCTACCGAAATAGCAGCATGTTCTTTCATAAGACCCTGTAAAACAAAATATTTCAGTGGAATTGTAGCTTGCTTTAAAAATAAGTTGAATGAAAATATTCTGAAATTCTTATCTCTATCCTGTGATTAATGTAATTCTCTTATTGTGGCATGGTCTAATCTGGACACTGCCTGCAATTTCTTTACATCTGTGGGATTCTTCTTGCCATTAAGAAACCTGGAATTTACACCAGTGCATTGTTTCAGTCTCCTCTTTGAAAAGTTAGTTAACAGAAAGCACCACTGCTGCCAATTCTAAAGTGGTGTTGAAGATGAGAAGTTATTTAAAAAAACCCAAACACAACCCCGCCCCCCCCGCTAAATCTAGCAGAAGATTTTTTCTTGTGCATGAGCCACCATGTAATCCCTTATGCCTTTCCATTTCAAATGCCAAAATGTATTTTTTCCTTGTTTTGCCACTAAAAAGACACACAACAGTATACACACATACACACAAGCTTGCACACACATGTGAACACTAATTGGGTTCTTTAAAATAAGAAATAAAATTCTAATGAGATTTTCAACTTTTCTTGTAAGCGTGAGGGAGAAGAAGGAAGAAAATGGGTATTATAAATGATCAGAGAATAAAAGTTCTAGATACACGACCTGTATAAAGGCAATTTAACATGATGCCTGCTGGATGTGAATAAAATTATTCTGCTGTCCTGAAATTAATTTTGTTATTTATAATGCTTAACCTACTAACCCTTCTTGTCGTTTAAGAAATACCATGTCCAATCAGAAACTACATAGTATCTGTAGTTACAGCTCATATTATATCTATTACTTACGAATGCTTCCAAACTGTCCAGCTCCTCCATGAAAATAAAGGATTCCTCTTCTTTGGCCAGTGGTTGATATTTTTGGCTGGTAAATTCTTACTTTAACCTTTTCAAACCTTAAGTCCTTGATAAAAAAATGTTTATCTTTTAATAGTGGTATTACATCCATTACAGTCCTGAGGAAATAGGCCTCTGAGGTGATACCTACTTTTTCCAAAATTTTTGCCTGTTAATAAAGGGAAAGAAACCACAAATTAGTGCAAATTTCCATCCTACCTGCAGATTGATCATGAAAAATTTAAAATTCTATGGTCAGTTTAAACTTTGTCTCCTGATGGTTCTTACAATGAAGTGGCCAGTTATGATGCTGATCTGGATACATCTTCATTGTAATGAAATACCTACCAAAATTTGAGATTCAAAGAGCAGTAGATTTGACAGGAATGGATGAACTTATCTTCTGGAGCTGCCTTGTGTCCATGCTTCTCCAAAAGCGAGGCCTTTGAGCCTGTGGGAAAGCCGGCCTGAGAGCTGTTTTCACAGAAGCGTAGTAACTTGGCGTAGTAATACCATTTTACATCTCTGGCAAAAATGTAACCAGTACTATCTAGCAGAACATAGGGTTAGCTTTGGTGGTAATTTCTAGATTATATTAGAAATGTTAGATGAGAGTGTGGTGGTTTTCAAATTACTTCATTCTTCACTGGTGAAATCCTGGCTTAATTTTTATCACTAGGAAAAAAATCGAACTATTAATAGTAGATAAAAGAAGGTGTCAAATACAAATAAGTAGCCATGTGCCTGAACAAAATGAGGAGAGAGTAGTTACAGCATTTTAGACTTCAGCTTTGGATGAAGAAATGTGGCTCATACTTTAGTTTCCAAACTCATGCTACTTTTTAACTTGCAGAAAAAAAAAAAAATTCTGTAGCATCTACCACAGCTGGCCTCCTGAACAAGAATAGCTTTGAACCTTTAGCTTGACCTTCTCAAAGCTCAGTGGTTCGTTCTTAAACACTCAGGCTGAAGATTCTTATGTCACTCTGAGGTAGTCTGCTTCATTGCATCTGGATGGCTTTAAGCTGTTTCAGTGGTCTGCTCTAGTCTAAAGACGAAAAATATGAGGCAATATCACTATATTTCCACTGTATTGGATTAAATTGTGTACTTTTCTTCTTCAGCAGTACACTTCTCTAATGATTGATTTAATTTGTTGTGTTGCCATTATTCATGGATGTGTATTTCAAAAAGAATTGCTTATACAAAGGTATATGCTGCATGTATCTTAAAAACCCACAATAAGTCTTGTGGCTTTCACCTCACGTTTCACAGACCTCATGTAGCTCAATAATGCGGTCCTGTTACATTTGATGTAGGTATCCTATTTTAGCCCATGTGAGGAGCTGATCCCGTGTGCAAGAAGGATCATTTTGTGGCCAAGTTTTAGTCTCATACTGATTCCTTCTACAGAACTCCTGTATGATGTCCATGGGAAAAGAATTTTGTTTCTTTAACCCTGCAATTCCCTCCGCTTTTTCTTTCCTCACACTAATACTTTTGTAACAGTAAATGTTAAATCTGTAATTAGCTATATTGGTTGCATATAATATAGAGGTCATCTTTGTCTTGGAAATACTAAAAAAAAAAAGAGGAGTCCTTATCAGTCGCTGTGTTTAGTGTTGGCAGTCTGACTTCTCATTTTTGTTAAACCTGCAGTAGTTTCACAGGTCGACTTTCACAGAGATTGGTATTTATTTATATTGCTCTTAGTCACTTTGCTGTTAGCTGTGAGTATCTTCTATGGATTACCTGCAACAACGTACAGTTCTGGCAGACAGCCATAATTAGTGTCATCGTGTGTAATCTTCATGTTATTTCTGTTAATATGCAAATGAAATTTTAATCTTGTGGTGGTGTTTCAAATTGTAGTGTTTTAAATTGTACAGTTCCTGTGAATAGAAGTTCTACAAGAACCAGCAGAATTTGCATTTTTGCTTTGTTTTCTGATTCAAGTCCATTTTTTTAGTATATATGTTCCCTCAGAGTGAGGTATTGGGTTTTGGCCTACAGTTTTTGGGGAAAAAAGTGATCACTTGCATGACAGCTGCAAGACTGGGCTGTGTGTACATAGAATACAGCTAGACCACGTATCGCTGATGTCTTTATTACCAGAAATCCCACTTTCAGATCTTCATGTTCATAAAGCTTGCTCTTTTGCAGGTGATTAATCAAGTCAGTCAAACATGACCTACATTTTGACATTTGTAAATAAGTGCAACTGCTTAGTAGTATAATTTTTAAACCAGTAATTGGACAGTTTGGTTATATATTCATTAAGGATCTTCTAACGCTATAGCTGACACGACAGCTTGAAAATTAAGAAAGCCTTGCAAGTAGTAGCGTAAGCCAGTTGAAGCGTGGGACTAGAGAACTGCGACCTCCTTTGAAGCGTTGTCTAGCTCAGCTTCTGCGGTCACACCGAGTGCAACGGCGTCTGGCATTCACAGTGAAGTACTGAAAAACCGATCCCACTGGCAGGAACTGGCATGGAGATTCCCATGCACAAGGAGAAAAGCTGTGTAAGAGCTGAGTTAGAAGCGAGGGTCCAGATACATGTTCAGGCAAAGGCCTAGGGCCTGCGGCAGCGTGCGGATGGTAACGTCTGCGGGACGGATGTGGCAGAGCTGTGCTGTCTGTGGTGGTAGGGTCCTTTGTTCTCTTTACGCAGGTACAGAGGCCTAGTGTGTACACCCCAGAACTCATGTGAATTGCACTTTGTGCTGGCCCTTCTACCTAAATCATTGCTAGAATAAATTGGGTACAAGACGCTTACAAACTATTAACACAGTAAGTAGCATGATTTAATCAGCCCCTCTATTTCCCAGGTGGGATCAGTCATAAGTCCCCTGGCTATTGTTTAGCTTTACTGATAGGGCAATTTGTCTTCTTACAGACTGAATATGAGATGAAAAAATAAAAGATGAGTTAATAGATTTTTCAGTGAAGAAGTTTTATTAACTTTAAGATGTAACTGGTTCTGTTTAGGTGTATCATCATAGGTGAATGCAGGTATTTCTTCATAAAATCTATTAGATAGGGCACAACTACTTCAAACTGGTTTGTCTCCAGTGACTTCACATGCATCTTTTGTCCCAGCTGAAGACTGGATATGCTAGTAAACTTCAATTTTCCTTGCAGTTTTGACATCATGGGTTGTCATCCCTTGAAAGGATTTGAATACTTTGGCATAAGTAATTGGCCTAACAGCAATACCAAGAGTTGCTATGTGACTCGGACTTTAGTTGCATTTAAACTTTTGTATAACCATACATTAATATTCTTATCTTTCTGCTCCTTTGAAGTGATATGGTACAGTGCTTTTGCTTGGCCTCTTGCTGGCCAGCAGAAAGGATACAAAGTGATAAGATCAGAAGTTAAAAACTATATTAATCACCAGTAAGTTTCTAAATTCTGCAGTTTAGCTTTTTACATATGAATTACACAAAGAGAGAACTTTGTCTGATGGATAAAGAGTATTCATACAGTGATTTGAAAATGTGGAAGTCCACACATTGTATAGTAGATGTAAGAAAATTTAATTTGACTTCTATTACTATTTTATTTATTATTCTATCCTATTTTATTACATCGCTTTACTGTCGTAACAGTGTTCAGGCCTGGGTGGGGCACATCTCAAGAGGCATGATAAGTCAGGTTCTTAGGAGCTTACTGGCTGACTTCAAACAGAACTTAATAAGCAATGTAGCAGGGAAAGGGAGGAAGAAATAACAACGTTAGTACATGGAACTGAAGTGAAATGTAATGCACAAGCCAAAGAAACTGAAGGGGTTTTTCACAATTTAAACAACTAAAAGAAAAGACGCTTGATTTAGGTATCACAGAAGAAGTGTTTTTAAAATGACAGAGGCAACAATTAGTTCAGGAAAGGATAATCGATAAAAGAGGAAGACAAGTGGAAGTCACGTTTTAGCTTTGAAGAGAAACAAGGATGAAAAACAAGGGAGGCTCAAAATGTGCCAAAAACAATGACACAGAAAGACAGCTTTAGTGTTATGTGTACTATCTCAAAAAAGAAAGTCATATAGGCATATTGAAAGGCACAAGATGATGAATGTGGCAGCTGATGGCTCAGAAGTAGTGATACAGTTGTAGAAGAGAACTGACATCACAGACATCATTAGTTGCTCATTCTCTAAATAAGCACCGTTTATACAGAGCAGCAGTTCCACAGTGCAGTAAGCTTCTGAGCCTTCCAGCACTGCATTGAGGCAACAGGATTAAAAAGCCAAAACCCAGAAAAAAACCTGGGTGTTACACAGCCTGCAGAAGTTTATTTTTTCCATATTGTTACCTTTGGTGCTGTATAGCAAGCAGTAGAGTCTTTTATAGCCAGCTGAGCTGAAGGTATCTGCAGTGGTGCTCACATCTCCAAATTAATCCAGTTGCAGATTTGCAATATATTTATACATCAATTCTAAAAAACCTCATCAATCCATTACCCTTCTATCAGAAATTAAATTAAAAACTCCAGCTTTAATCAAGTTTTACTTACCAGACTAAACGTGAAGTTCAGGACGTAATTAAAAGCGTAAAGCTTTTGGCGCTGACTAAATCCGTGAGGGATTTCTGCTTTGGGGCGTTCATAAGAGAATGCCACTGCCACAAAGACAGTCAAAACAGTGAGAAAAATCACTAGAAGGAGTTCCATCTCACTGTAGTGTTAGGAGCCAAATGGAAGAACCAGCTGTTGCTTCCTTCCCTGTCCGCATTTTGAAGTATTTCTGAAGGTAAAGGCACAGGATTAGCAAATTCCCTTCATATCCCATCATTCAGCTTTATAAATGTCCGTAGGAAGACGAAAACATGGCAATTAAACTATACAATTAAACAGACAGTAACAGTAATGGGAGAGGCTTATATGAGCAGTTTTTCTATTTGCAGCTAACATTTTTTTGAGTCTGTGCCCATCACCATAAAACCAGTGCTTGATGTATCATTTGTAGTGTCAGTGTTATGAGAAGACAAAAACTTTCTATATCTCTCCCTATTTCTTGAATAAAGTCAAGTCTGTATTATTTCAGAGTTCCTGGGAGTTCCTGTGGAACGGGATTTCTTAGTAATCGTCTTCGGAGCTGCTCAGTTTCTTGATTTATTGTGCCTCCACACGGTACTTCTTCAGACTTCTGGTGAATCAAGGTTTCAGTGTGGCAAACACATTTCATCACATTTGATGACTGGTTTTGTACACTGCTATGCCATTGCATCTTTGAGTCTAATGGAACCAGAAGCAGCTGCAGCCTGACATGTCAGTGCTTTGCATCTTGCTTGATCCTCCTCAATAGCTTTTCTCCAGCGGGCGAAAGCCTGTACCAACTGTTGGGTTGGTTTGGTTTGCGTTTGGTTTTTTAATGGCCTCTTGTTGAGCCTTACAGTACTGCAGTCTCTGTCTTCTCATGAATGTGTTACGGGTGTCATTCCAGGTAGAAATATGATGCCAGCTGATGAAAACTAGACTTGGACTTGATGGTTTCAGTGCTAGTAGCCATGACGAGACATCAGCAGCCCGCTCATTTCTGTATACTCTGCGGTGAGCTTTAGGATCTGCACCTTCCTCTGGAACTAACGTATTTTTCAGTACACAAATCATTAGTGGTAAGATATAACCTGAAACAAAAAAAATCTGGAAAGCGAAGCTTTTTCAGCTCATATGATGTCTTTTTACCAGTCTGCTCAAACTGTGAAGGCAACAGATTCTCACTCTGAACAATAGCAGTATGGGTAGAGTGTGTAAAATTTTTCCTTAAATAAAAGAATAAAAAGAGTACAGGGGATGAGCTGACCTTGACACGTATGTTAAAATGAAACTAAATGCAGAGAACTCCAGAGCTTTAGAATGCATAATCCATGACCTACATAGGAAAGAAGACCTCAGACTTGATTCCTGGCTTTAGAAACTGTTTCTTAATTGTTTAGCATAAGCAGGAAGGAACTTCATTTTCGAGTCCGGTGATATGCTCTCTGAGAAGAAGCTGATTCCGTGCTCTGCTTCCTCTGCCCAAACTGTTCCTTCATTTTATCCAACAACGCTTTGCGGATTTTCATTTCCCAGTGTCCCAATTCCCTCTCTCCCCCTTGCCGGAAGGTTGTTTACATGCTAAGTATAAAATCAGGTTCCTTTTTGTTTATTCTTCCATGTGGCATTTGATACAGTCTCCCAGCTCAGTAAGGGATGTCCATGAAAGACACGTCGCCTGGTGATTGGGACGCTTTCTTGGGAAATGGAAGTGGTGAATTCAAGCCTGTCAGGACCGAGGTGTGTATAGGGTTCAGCTTTCTTATAACTTGGACAAGATAATTAGGAAATACTGCTACACAAAACATGGTTGTAGCTCCCTTCTTTAGCGTTTCATAGTGAAAGTAATTAATCAGCTTTGTGCTAAACTGTGCTGTCCCAATGAATTAAGTATGGTCTCAGTATGCTTATGAGATTTGGCCCCTCTCGGGTTCTAAGAAGTCTTCTGACACTTGGACAGATCCCCTCTGGACAGGCTGGATCGATGGGCCAACTGTATGAGGTTCAA